TTGCGTCAGATTTTTTTGTTTTCCATCTGTTTTCTACTCAAATACTTATGTAACAAATAACCTGCAGGACTGAAGTACTGAAGTACTGTCTGCAGTAGTAGTTATTACACAAATACTACACTGATGACCGTCCGCTTTAACGAGCGTCGAATTATTATTGGAAGATCGTTTCTGTCAAATGAAAACATCATCAAGGGTGAGTTTCACTGCTGAACTCTGAACTGGGAGCCGGGGGAGGCAGAGAGGGGAGGAAGGGGAGGGGGGAGAAAGGGAAGAGGTGAAGGAGATTTTCTGTGCAGTTCTTATTCCCCTACTGGACGGCTTTCCTGTCCTCAACAGTGCAGTTCCCGTACCACCCTGTGGTGGCGCTGGTGATGATGTTCTGCCTCATTTTTAATCTGACATCGTCTTCGTAGAAAGTCCAGTCCGTGCCGCAGAATTTTCAGTCAGTTCTCACTGATGTAGGTCTCACCCCCCCGTCTCCCCTCCCCCCGTCTTTACTGTGGTTAGGTGTAGTTTTAGTCAAAGTACTACAAATACTCTTCGGGTACACGTTGTTACTGCTCACTGCTGCCACCTGTCTGTGTGTCTCTGCCTGTTTACTGTAATCTGTGTCAGTCAGTCAGACTGTGTCAGTCAGACTGTGTCAGTCAATCAGACAGTATGAGTCAGTCAGTCTGTGTCAGTCACTCAGTCTGTGTCAGTCAGACACAGTCAGTCAGACACTGTCAGTCAGACTGTGTCAGTCAATCAGACAGTATGAGTCAGTCAGTCTGTGTCAGTCACTCAGTCTGTGTCAGTCAGACACAGTCAGTCAGACACTGTCAGTCAGACTGTGACAGTCAGATAGACTGTGTCAGTCAGACTGTGTCAGTCAGACACTGTCAGTCAGACTGTGTCAGTCTTTCCCCTGACGTACCGTGACTCTGAAACAGTCGGTACAAACGTGGCGAGGTGAACGATGTCGGAGTTGCGGAGCTGCAGATGGCTCCGTTGACTGTAGGTTCATGGCGTCTGTCTCTCTGTGTGGTCCGACCTCACGTGGACTCACAGCTGTGCGGGAGACAAACACGGCCGTTAACATCCATCGTCTTTATGGAGTGTGATGGTTTCTGTGGAGGAGAAGTTTGTTTCTGAACCTCTGGAGTCAAACCCCCAACCCCCTCAACCGCCCCCCCCACACCGCCCATTAACACTTTACAGTTGTTAAATATATACTAAAAATATTATTGATGTGAAGATGCCCAGGGCTGGCCTGCAGTTTCCCAAGTCGTCCACTGGGGGTGCCATTGCAGGGTACAAATAGAAGGTGTCTCAGTCCAGCTGTTGAACCTGTTTGACTTCGTCCCCGGACATTTTTCACATTTACTCGACCGTGGACTTGAAAACTAGACGCGGTTTTTAATTACGCGTCTATTAATCATCGCGGAAAAGTTGCTTTGCTCCGTCAGGAGACGGATATTTAATTTTGGGAAACCGACGGAGAAACGTTAACATCCTGTCCGCTTGTGTTGCGTTTGGCCGTGGGACGTTTCTGCCCGGATAATAATCTCTTATTATGTTGCTACACTCAATTAGCGTCCATTACTGTCGGACTGCATCTCTAAAGTAAATGTTGACACTCGCTAATTCCCAGCAAAATGGCCGTCGCCATTTTTACCACGGAAAAACACAGAGCAAGAAAAACCTTTTTTTCTTGCTCTCTTTCCATAACAGCCATAAATGAACACAGTGGTTCTCAAACTATGGTACTTGTAACATTTGTGGTACATGTGGTCTTTGGCTGATGAATGGTCCAATATTTGTATTGCAATAGTACACGCAGGTACTACAGTGGTGATTAAGGTTGAGAAGTATCGAGAATTTTTTTTTTTTGCTTTTTTTCTGCTCGTTGATGTTTTTTTAATATACAGTTTTCTGTGTGCGCAGGTTGCGACATGTGTGCGGACAACAGGAACGGTGAGTGCCCGATGCACGGTCCTCTCCACTCCCTGCGTCGACTGGTCGGCACGAGCGGCTCCGCCGCGCCGGTCACTCTGCCGGACGTCCCTGATTGGCTGAGAGACCTGCCGAGAGAGGTAGGTCTTCGTTCGATGTCGATGAAAAACAGGAAGCGCCGTTAAAATGTTGGGAAAAAAAAAACTGAAATCCAAACTCTCTCTTTGCTCTGTGCTGCCTCTGCAGGTTTGTCTGTGCACCAGCACGGTTCCCGGACTGGGCTACGGGATCTGTGCGGCCCAGAGGATTCCTCAGGGAACCTGGATCGGACCCTTCCAGGGCGTCCCCCTGCTGCTGGACAAACTGCAGTCCGGAGCCGTGAGGAACACGCGCCACATGTGGGAGGTGCGTGTGTGTGTGTGATGGTGTGTGTGTGTGTGTGTGTTGGTGTGTGTGTGTGTGTGTGTGTGTGTGTGTTGGGGGGTTCACCTCAGTTCTCGGTCCGTGGATCAGAGCTGATTGTATTTACATACGGCGGCAGGAGAAAGTCAATGTGGCAGTT